GAAGAAGGGGGAGCGTGGTCGAGGGAGGGAGGACTGGGTATGGGAACCTGGGTGACTGGTTTGCAGGTAGATGGGTGAATGGGTGGGTCGATGGAAAGCCTCATAGCAAACCCTTTCCCCGTAAGCCCAGCCCGGCCTCACTTTCTGGAGAATGTCATTGATGTTTCACTCCCTGTGTCAGGTCCTGGGGAGGCAGAGTTGAGTAAGACGCGGCCGTCTGGTGTGGGGGAGGGTAGAGGCTCCAGCTCCGTCCACCGCCCCCTCCTGGGCTGTCAGCAGAGGCGGACGCACACACCAAGGCTTTCAGGTGGCGCTCATGCACGGGAGGCGGCCTGGGCCCAGATGGTTTACATTTGTTGCTGAGAGCGCTGTCCATGTCAGCAGACATGGCCGGGGTCAGGGTGACATCAAGGGGCCGGGCCCCGAGGCTGTTCGTCAGGAAGACTAATGAGCCCGCCGCTGTCCCTGCCGGCCCTGCGCCCCCACGGGCACGTGGAGCCAACCTTGAAACCCACCACCGCGTGGGGATGGCCCCGCCATCGCCGGCTTTTCGTGGATGAGCCTGCATTTCCCCCGGAGGGCGGGGGCAGCTCCTGTATCAGAAACCTGGCGGCGCCCCGCCCACCGAGGAAGGGCTCCACGTAGGCCTCTCCAGCCCCCCATTAGTTATCTAATTACACCCACATTCTCCAGGAGAGCAGCCCCATGCCCTGCCCAGGGCCGCTTAGAAAGGCTTCGCACTTGGAGTGTGTGTGTGTGTGTGTGTGTGTGTGTGTGCGCGCGCGCGCTCACGAGGTCTAGAGAAGGTGTGTCCGAATCTCTTCAGCCCTTTGTCTTCATTCAGCAGAGGTTCTAGACTTCCCTGAGGAGCGGGGTGTCAGCGTGGAGCTCGGGGTTCCACGGGAGGAAGCACACCCACCTGCCGCCCTCAGCTGAGCAGCATCCGGGTCAAACCGACACTCACACTGACACACTCACACTGACAGACACACACACTCACACAGATACACACTCACACAGATACACACTGACACTCACACTGACACACATACTGACACACGCATACTGATACATTCACACTGACAGACACACTCACATAGACACACACTGACACACACTGACACGCACTGACACACTCACACGGACACACTCACACACTCACACTGACAGACACGTACACTCACACGGACACACGCACACTCACAAACGCACTGCTAAGGATGTTACCCATCACTGTATCTTTACACATCTCATCCCAGGACCTGGGGTGCCTCTCCTTGACTTCTTGCCCCCGCCACCCCACCCCCAGCAACCTCCTCATGATGACCTGTCTCCTGCCTCCTCCTTGGCGAATCCATTCCCGACCTCCATCTCTGTCCTCCAGCCCCCACCTTAGCCGCTCTGCAGACCTGTGGGTACTTATATCCACAGCCAGCTCCCCCCACACACCTCTGGGTGAGGGCACATAGGGTCACCCCAGAGCCAGCATGGCCAGTGCAGGGAGGGCCTCAAGGGATCTTCATGAACGGCCGCCTCCTTTGGGGTCTAATGTCCCAGTCATGGAAGTGAGTGCCGTGTGCACCGGCCTGAGGGTAGGCACTTCACCCCCGAGGGCTCACAGGCCAGGCTGTAGGACCCCTCCTAAAGCTCAGGCCCCTGGGAACGATGATGCCACACATCAAAGTTGGACACAGGCTGGCTGGACTGGGCGGTCAGCCTGCAGCCCCCAACAGCAGGCAAGAGGCCAGGAGCCAGTCATCTCATTTCGCTGGGTCCTCACCTCCCCCCTCACCACACTCCTCACTTGCTGGCCCACCTCACAGCTCACGTCGTTGGGGAGCCTGCTGGGGAGACCCTTCAGTGGGTGCCGGAGCTGAGGGTGGAGCTGGGGACAGTGGTTGGCCTGGGCCCTGGGTGCAGGTCAGCAGCTTGCAGATGCCTGGTGGTCCTGACGTGGCCACCTGTCCAGCTTCTGCTGGGAGGACGGGAGGAGGCACCTGTCCTGTGCTGTCCGGGCCCCTCGACGGGCGGCCTGGAGCTGAGGGAGGTGGTGGTATCTCACTCGCCCTCCTGCTTGTCTTCCAGACTGTCCGTGGGGCTGAGGTGCATGAGGAATGGGGTGCGTCCAAGCCTGGAATCCTGAAACCTGAACAACCTCAAGGAAGCGGCCCACTCTTCTCTCCAGCAAGACCCCAGACAAGGGGACGGCGACAGCGTCGGACGCAGACCCGGCCCGGCACCCCCTGCCCCAGAGACGGCCCCACAGAGCAAGGGCACTCATGGTCCTTCTTGCTGGTGACATGCTCATTGTCACCCTTGCCACTGTTTGGATTTTTCTTCTTGTTTTTTTTGGGGGGGAGGGGTATTTTTTCTGGAAACTCTAGATTCAGGAACACATTTATGAGGATTTGGATTTTGGATTTGTATTTCCCTCCAAGTACCTTTGTGTAATGTATATTTTTTTAATAAAACAGAAATGCATCCCTGTACCCTTCTATCGAAACTGGACCAAGGCTCTCAGAGAGAGGCCCTGCGCCCGCCCCGCCCTGCATGCTGTTCCCAGCAACCTGGAGCTCCGCCCCCTGCTCCTTCTCTCTCCACCACTCGCTCAGTAACCAGTTTTTTATATTTTCCGTTTCAGTGTATATGTTGCTTATTTGTTTTATTTATTGAGATATTTTTAACAAGCTCAGTGACTGCAACGTGGCTGTGTATACTCCCCCCGCCCCCCTCCGCCCTGAACAATAAAGACGCGAGCAGCCCTGGTCTTCGTCTGTTCTCTGCTCCGCCTCCACCTCGCAGCTCGGGAAACGCCCCGAGGCAGTTCCCATAAAAATGACTGTCGTTTCACTTTAAAAGGGGCAAGAAATGATGTGCGACATTTTATGCCACACATACCAGAGCGTTTCCTAGGAACGTCCATCTCCGTGTGGCTGAGTGTTCACAGACCAGGCCTGGGCGAACAGGTGAGGTTGGCCTCAGCCCCACTCCCAGCCTCAGAGCTAGAGATGATGCTCCCAGGCCATTCCCTATTCCTCAGACCACACTCACCGCCCGTGTCCCATCCCTGCTGCCCAGGGTCGGCACTAGCCAATGCCAGCTCCTCGAAGCCTCCCCTACCACCCGGCCCAGGCGGGGCTCCTGGGTCCCAGACAGGACATTCAAGCTGCTCCTTCCCACTTCTCCCCATGGGTCACTGTCTGTTTTGAGTACGTCCAGCCCAGCACCTGCATGCGCAGCTGTGTGAGGTTAAGGGGGGTGCACCTGTATATGCAGGTATGTCCAGGGTGGAGCCCTGGCCCAGAAACCCAGCAGATCCACCGTCTGCCAAGGGCCACGATGGAGCCAGCGACTGGGTCCAGGGAAGGGGCAGACACATTTCCATGAGGGGTGGGAGTCCCTCGTTCCACCTGCTGGCCTCCTGACCATGTCTGTGGGTACCAGTGGGGTTATGGTGGCCCCAGGTTGAAGGCTTCCAGCTGGGGAACTGCATGTCACCAGGTCACACCGTGAGCCAGAGCGGGGTGGAACTCCAGAAACGACAGCTCCCATCATCTGGCTGCTCCCAGGAGGGGCCTGGGTGCAGCCCAGCTTCCCTGTGGCTGGCGCCACCTTGATGGTTCCTCTGCACCTGTCTGGGGCCCCGTTCCTGCAGCATGAGCCCAGCCCCCACTGCACACAGCAAGTGAGTGGGCATGGGGACACATGCAATGCACACGTATACACGCACACACACGCAATGCACACATATACACACACATGCAATGCACACATATACACGCACGCATATGCAATGCACACATACACGCACACACCCGCAATGCACACATATACACGCGCACGCACACGGAGCTCCCTGCAGAGACCTGGGCAGCTGTGGTCTGGCAGTGAGGGGTTCCGCCCTGCCCTGTGCTGTCCATCTTGCAGGGTCCTACAGAGGCCTGTGCACCTACACTACCTTCGCCTGCAGTGATTCAAAAAAAAACAACACCAAACCATGTCACATAAAACTTTTAACGGGGTGGCCAAAAGCACTTGTTTCTTGATTTCCAAATTGCAAAATTCAGAGCTGGAGCCAGTCTGCCCAGCAGTGGCCGGCCTTGGGTCCCCACTGCGGTGACCACGTCCAGTGAGCCACCCACCCCCAAGTCCAAGGCGAGGGGGCTGTGCCGGTGAGGATACCCTCCCCTGCGAGGGAGAGTCGAGTGGAGTCCAGTGAGGCCTCAGACCGGGGACCCCAAGGCCAAAGTCACGGAAAGACCTGAGGTCATATCCGGACCTGGGGCACCCTGTGAGGCCTCAGACCGGGGACCCCAAGGCCAAAGTCACGGAAAGACCTGAGGTCATCCGCGCCCACCGTGACGACAGTCCTGGTGTGCCCTGTTCTCCAGCTGACACACCCACTCCTGGGAAACCTTGCTCCCTCCGCGCCCACCGTGACGACAGTCCTGGTTAGCCGTGCCATGTCAGCTCTCGGCATGTTACCTCGGAGTCCTCACCGCCGCGCGTCTTCCCTCCTCGACCAACTCAGATAAGTTCTCACTAGACATTGAAACTGTGGTCCAAAGAGTGCACCTGGAAGGAAGTGGGAGCCATCGGTCACTGGGAGCGTTTTCCAGGCGCACGGCCATCTCCATCCGGGTCTCTGCCACCAACAAGGTTACGATGACCATCCCAGGAGGTGCACTGAGCCCCGTCCTAGAGACGGCACCGTGATGGGTGGGAGACGCGGGACCAGAGGGACGAGGGTGGAGGCAGCAGAGGGTAGAGGCGCCTGTGGGGAAGAGGAAGGCGGAGGTGGAGATTTTAAGGGGCAAAATGGCCACCGTTCTCGATTTTACTGTAAAACGTGTGCCCTTTTCTTGTAATGTTGCTCACCCCTGTGCATGAATCACGCGTGGGGATGTGGTTTTCCCGGCAGCCGCCGCAGGCACACGCTGGTCCCGGAGGGTTTGACAGCAGGGAGGTGAGCCATCAGCACCACCAGCCTCCTCTCTGCACTGGGTGCTGAGTGTAGCTTTCCGTCTTGTGGTCTGGTTTCTTCTAACGAAAACCTCCTAGGCTAAGAGGTCTCCAGACATAATCTGAGAAGACACAGCCTGGGGCTCTGACGGGCCGGGGCTGGGAAGCCTGTCGGCTGGTTTGGTTGCAGCTCAACACCATGAAAGAAAGAAACACGTTGGCGCTGGCTCCACCCCCACAGGTTGCTCTAAATACACCTCCCAGCCTCTCCTTCCCACAGACCAGCCTCCGCACAGACTGGAGAGGCTCTGCCCAGAGAGCTACGTCGCAGGGCCTTCCTTGGCCATGGCACCCACCCGTGGGTGGTCGGGGACCAGGTCAGTAGCTGCTCGCTGGGCCCTGCGTACCTGGAGCTTCACAGCCCCTGGCAGGGCGCCGGGGCACCGCTGTGCTCTGCACCTTCCTCCTGCTGTTTTGGCATCGGCATTCGTCCACCTACTTTGTCCAGGTGTTTGGGTCTTTGCCCAGCCTCACCATGCAGCCCCGTAACCTGCTGGGAAAGACACAGGTGGGAGCAGGTGAATGAGAGGCAGACAGAGCCCTGAGCGGTCACTGGGGGCGGCAGTAGGGCCTGTCCCACGGGGCTGCCTGGTCTTTGGGCAGTGGACTTGCTGACCCGGGGCCGAGCGACCTCTCTGTGCTTCCAGCAGGACCCACCTGCCAAAGCCAAGGTGGCTGTGCCTGTGCCCGAGAGCATCGGGGAGTCTGAGCCCTTCTGCTTAAGGGCCAAGACTCAGACTCCCAGTGCTGGTCACAGAGGAGTGAGGAGGCAGGGGAGACCCCTCCAGACGGCTCCAATGCCGCCCGCCCCCCTCGGGCCTTCCCTTTGATTGCCGCCTGCCCCGTCATGGGCAGTGATGCTTCGGTTCTGATTGGACTGGATTTTCTTTGTTCTTTCCCGTTGTTCCAAAGCTGTCATCTCATGTGTCGGCCCGTATCCTGGAGCATGCAGGACAGTCACTGCAGGAAACTTAATTTGGGGTCTCAGTTTCCTCAGCTGTAAAATGGGGCTAAATCAATTCCATATTCCTTGTGGGTTTCATGACAAGGAACAAGATAATCCATGTAAAAGCCTCCCGAGAGCCCGGAGTGCCCTGTGAACGAGCCCCGCGCACACCGGGCACAAGGACCGCCTCCCTCCTGAGGCACCGCCCAGCCGTCAGAGACCTCCCGGGACGAACAGACTTGTGATGCCAGGTGTGAGGCTTGGCTTGTTTGTTTGTTTGATTGGTTGGGTTTAGCCATGTGACTGATTGAAGGGCATGGGGACCAAGCAGGAGAAAGCCTAGGCCCGTACCCCTCACACAAGCCTGTGTGATAAAGAAATCCATGGGAAACACTTCTCCACACACCCCAGCCTCCACGTGGTCTTTAGTTTCTGTTTTAAAACAGGTCGCGTGCTACGAGCAGAAGCTTAGCTAAGCCAATGCCCTGGGTCCCCAAATGGCTCAGAGTGAAGTGTCCGGTGGGGAGAGGCAGGGCCAGCAGAGATGTGAAGACAGCTGTGCCCCCCCTCACTCCCTCCCACCCCTCCCCAGATTCCTGGCACCCCTCTCACATTTAGGACAACTCAGCAACCCTGCAGAAGCCCAGCCAAAATAGAAATTACTTAGATTGTTTGCTGAAAATTGCCATGCTTGCAGAGTTTTATGAGGGGAAAAAGAGACCTTTTTTGATATAATAAGTCACATCGAAATGGACCCACGGATGCCCAGGAAAATAGAAGTCGTTGCCAGGTGTAAGGTTCTGGGGACACAGGTGAGCATGAGGGTCACCTCACACCTGCCCAGGCCCAAAGGGCCTGTGGGCCTTCCTCCTCCCACTGTCGGGAGAAGGAAGGACAGAGTAACTTCTCTGATTTGACAAAACACAGAGCAAAAAACAACAGGCACAAATGACTTGTGGTTTCACTCCCCTGCCGGCGAGGAAGGGCACTCCTGGAGAAGGAAAGGTGACAGCCCAGGAGCAAGGCCACGCGGAGGCTGCCCCGGGCAGCCCGGTGTGCGCTGTCGTTGCTGGGGGATGGGATGCTCTCAGTGCCCAGAGCCTGGAGGGAACCTCAGGGTGTCGGGAGCTAAGCCAGCCTCCAGGCCCCTGAACTTGAATGTCCTGCTGAGGTCCTGCAACTCGGACACACGCAGGGACAGGTGACACAAACATTCCTGGGGGTGAAGGCCCCGAAACCTGCGCTGTGGTCTTCCCGACCCGTCGGCACCACCCCCACGGTCACAGCCTCTCTCAGGAGGCGTGGACAGCATGCTTCCAACCAGGCGGGCCTCCTGAGCCGGAACCTCAGGCCTGGGTCTGTTCCGAAACGCACAGCCTCACGTGTTCAGATCTGATGAGAGCTCTCTGCCTTCCGGCATGGGGTGCGGGGAGGGGACGGTGTCAAATATTTACTCAGCACACAGCCCAGTGTTTACGCCCATGTATGGGCTGTTTGTTTTTTTAACAGACTTTCCACCAAACAGTGTGTTACTTCTTACTTCTTCAGTCTTACTTCTTTAACTTGCTCCTTCTCTAGTTTTGTTCAGATTTTGAAAGCACATCATTTTGGTGCCAAGATGAACAAAACCTGGCTCTTTATGATGTTGGGAACTGACTCAACAATTCACAGATTTTTTTTTTTAAGGCAAAGCTAATCAACTTGGAAAAAGTTGCACATTCTGTTCGCTGATGGTCCCGCTGACCCGGCAGACCCGGTTCCTCCCACTGCTCATTTGGGGAGTTGTAAGAATCAATAA